AAACCCCCTAATAAAAAATAAGTAAGACCACCAGAAGTAGCTAATTCTGAATTTCTATACAAAGTACTAAGTAAATATAAACCATAACTTTGTAATTCTATAGAAAGGAATATAGATACTAAATCGCTAGTGGAAATTAAAAATACGGCCCCAGTTATAATAAATAATAAAATTAAAGGATATTCTATTATTTTAAATTGTTCTCCCATTTTATCCATTATTTTAGTTCTATAATACAATAAATTATACATGAATAACTGGCTTATTGAAGAATAAGCTGCTATTCAAACTTTTCGGGGATAAAACGCAGTTAACTGTAATATAACCGCACTTATTATAAATATAAATAAGTGAAATATTTGTGTAGTACTAGTTACATGGAATAAACCACCAAATAAACCTACACCGCTATTCAAAAAAGTCAGAAATAAAGAAAAAAAGGCAAGTAATGAAGAATAGAGTACAGCTAAAATAGCTACTCTACTATATAGTATAGATTTATCTCGTCTTAAAGTGACGGCATTAGATAATAATAAAAAAGAAATTGAATTTACTAACACAAAAGAATAAAAGATTCGAACTTCTATATTACTTTAAAAAGCTGTTTGACCAATTAAACTAATTCTTTATATTGCATACCACGATACATATTACGTAGTAGCTCGTTTTCACTACATTTTACGTAGTTGCTCATTTTCACTACGTATTAAGTATGGGAGCAGTATTTGCACTATATAGTGCATGATATTTCAGACTAGCCATAAGTAATATAATATACATTCAAATTTAAAATGGATAAAAACCATGAAATACACACTAGAAATAATTTGAGTTTATATAAGAATTTAATAATTAAATCAATCAATATTCTGTTAATGTACATTTAACATATCTAACAATTGTTTTAACGAATTTCGCAGGTGATCTAACCAACCTGAATGATATCCATTAGTACCTGATTCTGGATATCCATTCGTATCTGATTCTGGATTTCCATTCGTATCTGATTCATGGTTTCCATACCCATTTGTTTGAGGGTTTCCATTCGTATTTGATCCAGGGTTTTCACCCCCATTTGATCCAGAGTTTTCACCCCCATCTGACCCAGAGTTTTCACTATTCTCTTCATCATTTATATGCTCTTGTAATTCTCTTTCTTTCTCCTCTAACTCTGCGATCTTGCGATCTATCGCCTCTAACCGATCTGCAGATTCCTCGTCTGCACCATCAGGACCATAGTCACCTGCATCATTATTCTCTTGATCGACTATTTTACGCTCTTCAGTAAGCCCTTCCAATTCTCTTCTAACTTCTTCTAGCTCTCCTTCATAATCACGTATTAAAACAAATGAAGGGAAAAAAGAGTTTAAAAGAGTATAAAACGAAAGGAAAAAAGAGTTTAAAAGTGTATTAAGCGAAAGGAAAAAAGAGTTTAAAAGTGTAAAAATTGAAAAAGAAGTATATAAAGGTGAAAAAAAAAAAACTTTGTAAAGGAAGACTAACAAATGCATGGGGTTTTGGTGGACTATTTAATGCTCATTCTAATGAATTAGAGTTTCTATTTAATAATGTTTGTAGAATATCGCTATAGAATTCTGCTGTTAGTCAAGGGTATCTACTAGCAGCTTTACCTTCAACTAACTGTACATAAACTATATATAAGAATAATCAAGTAGCTATCACACTAATGATAGATCCATAACTACTTATTAAATTTCATCCTGCAAATGCATCAGGATAATCACTTATACGACGCGGCATTCCCTGTAGACCAAGGAAATGTTGAGGGAAAAATGTCACGTTAACTCCCACAAATAATATTCAGAAATGTACTTTACCTAACATTCTGTTATAATCTAATCCTAATATTTTAGGTATTCAGAAATATCATGCACTAAATAGTGCAAATACTGCTCCCATACTTAATACGTAGTGAAAATGAGCAACTACGTAATAGGTATCGTGGAATGCTATATCTAGTGATGCGTTAGCTATAACAACTCCACTTACGAACGAAGGCTCTTTAATCTTTTAATCTTTTAATCTTTCATAACTAAATATATATTCTTTATAACTACCCTGTATTTCAGCGCACTTTCTATTATTATTTTAACTCTATCAGTCATAAAATTACCATAAACTTTCACAGGGTTTAATGCATATGATTTAAGAATTTTTTCAGAAGAATTAAGATCTACTTCACTAATTTCTTTTGAGGGTAGAGATAGGTCTAATTCCCTATTTAATACCCTGCAAGTTGTAGAAAATAAATTTTTAGTTCCTTCATTAGTTATTATAGGAGAAAATATATAAAGTTTTATTTTATTAAGATTAAAATGAAAGAATGAGCTCTCCATTACATGGACTATATCTTCTCGCAATAACTTGCGAGGATCACGTTTAGTCTCTAAGGTGCCTACTAAGTTATTGTAAAAAAACAATGTCCGTAGGTTACCTGCTGATTGTACAAAATTAGATTTTTTTATTGGTATTACTAATATAATATCTAATAATATAATTGTTAGTATCTCCCAGCATATGGTGATCTTTAAAGGGAGAGCCAAGTGGATTAATAACCCTCCAATGGTGAACATAAATATGAAACCTAAAGCAAATAACATAGCAGGTGTTAAATGTAAAGATCCCCCATAACATGTTGCTAATCAAGAGAAAATTTTAATTCCTGTCGGAACAGCAATAATTAATGTAGCGGCTGTGAAATATGCTCTTGTATCCACATCTAAACCAACTGTATACCGTCTACAAATTTGTCCCATTAATAAAAAAAAAAACTATACCTTATTACTCTATCCTTCAGCCTAAGAATTGAGTTACCTTTTGTATAGCTATACAAAAAAAGTATTCCCCCCACCCTAGTGGGGGGATACTTTTTAATTTTTCAGGATTTTATTTTTTCATTATTGGTAATGAAAAAATTATTAATGTAAGGAACTGGCTAATGTAGTAACTTTAATTTAGGGTTACTTAAGTGAAATTTTTCTCCCCAAAGCCGGTTTCCCGGTGACTAGAGTACACCTTACAGTTAAATAATATTCATTTATAGTCTAGCAATAATGGCTGGCCCTTCTGAGATAAGACTTGAATACAATTAAAGATTATTCATTTATAGTCTAGGTATAAAGGCTGCCCTTCTGAGATAAGTCTGGAATATCTAACTAAATAACTGGAGAACCATCTACTCGTTGCTCTTTTACAGACACAATATTTCACTTTAATGTCTGATTTAGATCCGCGATCACCCATTTCATTTCTATCATCCCTAGTGATGTTACCTTACCCTGAGGCATTAATCAGGCCGGTCATATTATTTCTAATATAACTTTGGTTACTAGGGCTTTAGGGCTTCCCCGGAGTTTGGCTCTGCTTACACGAATATGAGTAACCTACACTCATTTTATGTGATGACTTCAAACAACAAATCCTAATACACCAATAGACATCATGGCATAAACCATACCTAAATATCCGAAAACACTCTTGTTAGAACTAGCTGATATTACAGTACTTATTATACCAAAACCTGGTATAATTAATATATAAACTTCTGGATGACCGAAAAATCAGAAAAGATGTTGGTATAATATAGGATCACCACCTCCTGCAGCTTCAAAGAATGATGTATTAAAATTTCTATCCGTTAAAACCATTGTTATTGCACCGGCAAGCACAGGTAATGATAGTAATAATAATACAGCTGTAACAACTACAGCTCATCCAAATAAAGCCAATTTGTGTAAATTTATACCTGGACTTCTCATATTAAGTATAGTAGATATAAAGTTTATTGCACCTAATAAACTACTTATACCTGATAAATGTAAAGCAAATATAGCTAAATCCACACTTGGTCCACTGTGACTTTGTACTCCACTTAAAGGAGGATAAAGAGTTCAACCAGTTCCTGCACCATTTTCTATACCACTTGCAAACAAGAATAATAATAAACTTGGTGGCAATAATCAGAAACTTATATTATTTAGTCTAGGAAATGCCATATCTGGACCCCCTACTAATAATGGTAACAAGAAATTACCAAATCCTCCGATCAAAGCTGGCATAACCATGAAGAATATCATTAATATTGCGTGAGCAGTAATAATAGCATTGTACAATTGGTTATCTGC